ATTATCTTCCCTTCCAATTTTTCTTTGATGAAGAACCAGTCAACCTCAACATGCTTTGTTCTATCGTGTTGTACTGGATTATGTGCAATGTCACGAGCAGCTTTATTATCACAAAACAATTTCATAGGTTGATCATGTTTTATACCCAAATCCCTTAGCAAAAGCTTAAGCCATAAAATTTCACAAATCCCTAAGGCCATACCTTTGTATTCAGCTTTTGCACTAGATCGAGCAACCACATTTTGTTTCTTACTCCTCCATGTAACCAAGTTACCCCCAACGAATGTAAAGTAACTTGATGTTGAGTGCCTGTCATCTGTTGATCCTACCCAATCTGCATCAGTATAACCTTCAACTCTAAGATGATTATTCCTTTTAAACAATATTCCTTTGCCTGGGCTTCCCTTCAAATATCTCAAAATCCTCATCACTGCATTCATATGGTGTTCTCCAGGATCATGCATGTATTGACTCACTACACTCAAGGCATATGCAAGATCTGGTCTTGTGTGTGCTAAGTGCATTAAACGGCCTACTAACCTTTGGTATCTCCCTTTGTCAACTAGTACTTGATTAGGATCAACACTAAGCTTCAATCCTTCCTCTAATGGTGTAGCTACTGGTTGACAAGCTGACATGTCGGTTTCGTGTAGTAAATCAATAATATACTTTCTCTGAGACAAGTAAATTCCAAAATTGCTTCTCGACACCTCAATCCCTAGAAAATATTTTAGGGATCCAAGATCTTTCATCTCAAATTCTGTAGACAAGTATCTTTGCAAGGCTGCACGTTCTTCCGGATCATTCTCTGTTACAACCATATCATCTACATACACAATGAGTGCAGTAAGCTTCCCATTTCATCTTTTCAAAAACAGAGTATAAGCTTCCCATTTCATCTTTTCAAAAACAGAGTATGATCGGAATTACTTTGTGTGTAACCAAATGCTCTCATAGATTTTGTGAATCTTCCAAACCATGCTCGAGGAGATTGCTTCAAACCATACAAGGATTTCTTCAACTTGCTTACCTTTCTTTTGTATTTATTCGGAGCACTACATCCTGGTGGAAGATCCATATAAATTTCTTCTATCAAATCTCCATGCAAAAAGGCATTCTTCACATCAAACTGCTGTAAAGGCCAATTAAGATTCGCAGCCAAGGACAACAAAACACGAACTGTGTTAATCTTGGCCACAGGGGCAAATGTATCTGTATAATCGATTCCATATTTTTTAGTGTACCATTTTGCTACCAGTCTTGCCTTGAAACGATCCACTGTCCCATCAGCTTTGTACTTGACAGTATAGACCCATTTGCATCCCACAGGTTTCTTGCCAGCTGGCAAGTCCGTGATTTCCCAGGTAGCATTCTTCTTCAACGACTTCAATTCTTCATTCATTGCTGCTTGCCAACGTGGATTAGCTAAAGCCTCATGCACACTATTAGGAATAGATACAGTAGATAATTGAAACACAAATGACTTATTTGATTCTGATAGGTGGCTGGTAGAGACATAATTACCTAAAGGGTATAACATATTAGATTCTTGATTAGGTCTATTCATCGGGTACCTAGTTTTGCATTTAGGGTCAGCTTCATAAGTAAGTTTAGGAATACCTCGGTTGACACGGATAGGGAGACGATATGGTGATAGTGTATCCGGGATCGAAGATGATTGATTATGGTTATTGGGGCTCAAGGGTGGTGAGACCGACTGTGAGGTAGCTGGCGACAATGAGTTGTCCAATGGTGAGGAGGTTGGCAGTGAATTTTCCGGCGGTGTCAGCTCATCAATATTGTTTTCATGTGAATGATCACCTCTTAACCCCAAGGCATTACCACTTAATTCCAAGTCATTCACATCATTATTTTCTTGTGAATCATCACCACTTAAGTCCAAATGATTCACATCATTATGTTTTTGTGAATCATCACCACTTGTTTCCAATACATCACCACTTAAACCCAAATGATTCACATCAGGAATATTATAATCAAGAGTTTGAACTTCTGTCTGATTCTCCCCCTGAAGTGCAGACTCAAAATGGGAAAAGTACATATCATTTTCATGAAATGCAACATCCACAGTGACAAACAACTTTTTTGTCGGAGGATGATAACAGCGATATCCTTTCTGATTAAAAGCATACCCCACAAACACGCACCGTAAGGCTTGAGGTTCAAGCTTACTCATCTGCTGTTTATGGAGATGAACGAAAGCCACACAGCCAAACACATGAGGTGGAAGATTTGGAACTACAGGAGCATCAACATGTGAGGAGAGAGCCTGAAGAGGCGTCTGAAAATCAACGGATCGGGATGGAACTTGATTAATGAGATACACAGCTGAGGTGAGAGCTTCTCCCCAATAGGATAACGGGAGACGCCCCTCGAGTAATGAAGCACGGACAACCTCCAGAAGTTGACGGTTTTTTCGCTCTGCAACTCCATTTTGTTGTGGAGTGTATGGACATGTCATTTGATGAACAATACCATGATGATCCAGAAAGGCACGAAGGTCAGAGTTCATATACTCGCCACCATTATCACTCCTGAGAACATGTATTTGTGACTTATACTGTACTTGCACCATTTTGTGAAATTGCTGGAACAAGGAAGGAACTTCACTTTTTTACTTCATCAAACAAACCCAAGTCATACGTGTGCAATCATCAACAAAAGTAACGAACCAATAAGCACCACCAAATGTAGCAGTTTTAGATGGTCCCCAAACATCGGAATGAATTATCATAAACGGAACATAACTTTTTGTCAAAATGGACGGAAATGAAGTACGATGACTTTTAGCTAGTTCACAAACACCACATTTAAAGCTAGAAACGTCATTCTTAATAAATAGGCTAGGAAACAACCTCTGTAAATAACCGAAAGAAGCATGTCCAAGTCGACGATGCCACAACCAAACATCTGAAGCTTTATTCCGCTCCCCTTGAGATCCTCCCACAGTAAAAGCATGAGTCAACATCTGGGTACTGTTCGATGTCAGCTCCAAGTAGTAAAGCCTTCCTTTTTTGATACCATAACCAATCGTCTTGCAAGTCCGAATATCCTTAAAAACACAAAAAGAAGGCCAAAAAATAACAAGACAATGTAGGGCAACGGTTATTTGAGCAACAGATAATAAATTATAATCAAGTGAAGGAACAACAAGCACAGTATCAAGATTAAGGGTATCTGAAAGGGAGACAGCACCTTCCCCAATAATAGGGGCAGGATTACCATTGGCAACACTGACAACAGTTTTGGTGGATGGTTTTAGGGTTTGTACCTATCTAGAATCACAAGTCATATGTTCAGTAGCACCGGAATCAATTATCCATGTATTATTCGTAACATATGCAGAAACCTTTAAAGCCTTACCATCGTTAACTGTATGTTCAAAATGTACCTTAGTTTCAGCAATTAATGCACGCGGCTTATTACACCGGGGATCACGAGTCTTGTTCCAATTAACAAGATAACCAATAAGTTCGAAACAATGATTTGTGGAATGTCCTATCCAACCACAATAAGGACAATTGCTGGATGGATGATAGAAAGAAGCACGGGTCCAAGCAGTAATGATTTCATCGCAAGCCATTTTAATTGTAGCATGTGGGCCACACAAAAAAACAAACTGCAATTCAAAAAACAAAAAACAAAAATACAAAATGCAACTAAAAAAAAGAACAATAATTTTCCCTTTTTTTCTTTTTCATTTTTTCCTGTTTTTTCCTTTTTTTTCTTTTTCTTTTCTTCTTTTTCTTTTTTCTATTTCTTTTTTCTTTTTCTTTTCTTCTTTTTTTTTTTTCTTTTCCTTTTCTTCTTTTCCAACGAAGCAATGCTTCTGCGTTTTCTCCCTTTTTAATTGTTTCCTTTCTTCAATCCGCGCAATTACAAAGGGATTGCAGCGGATGGAATTTGTGCAAGCAAACAAAAACTTGCAGCAAATGGTTCGTGGCCTGGTGCGATGGTGGGTGCGAGCAAGTTCAGTGGCGGATCTGGTTGGTTCAGGCAAGGTTGGGTTCGGATTTTGGATTGCAGCATGCGACAACCAACAATGGCAGATTTGTAGATCTGAGTTCTGGGCTTCAACACAATACGTATAGACTCCGGTGCGGCGAAGCAAACAAACAAAAGGGATCGATCCAATAATGACAACGTCGCTCGTTGGTTATACGGCGCACAGCACAACTGGCGGTGCGGCTAATGATCGGACGGCGCGCTACACAATCTAGCGCGCGGCGTGGTGATCTGGATTCTGCACAGCAGCGGGGGTTTTTTTTTTCTTCCTTAACCTAGGCTCTGGTGCCAAGAAGAGAATGCTCTTTTGGAATAATTGTATATATTATTCATCTCTCAAGGAGGGATTTATAAGATGTTACAATCCTATCAATAAGGGAAGAAATAATTTACATAAAAACATATTAAAGTAAGAATCCCAAGATTACAGGAATATACACAAAAAGTCAACACTCCCAGCAGAGAAGCTTGCGCATGAGAGGTTCTGGGTCCTGTAGGGTAGGAAGAGAGGTTGCAACGACAACAAGTACGGGGAGGTGTTTTCCGGTGTCTGGTGAACAGAGAAGAAAGGATGAAAGAGAAACAAGGCTCGTGAGTTGTGCGTGCAAACTGGAAAACAGGAATGATTCGAACTTAAATACAATGTGGAATGCGCTGCTCTAACCAAGCTAAGCTCATTTATGTATGTATGGGGCAAGTTATTCTTTTCACTTAAGCTTCTACCAATCAAGCATTAATCCTTGGATTTGTTTCTTGTAAAACAAGTTGATTAATTTTGATCATTTTACATGCAACCTCTCCCAATACCAATCCCACTCTTAGTAATCTCACAATTGCTCTCACGAAGGGTTTTGTTAATAGGCAGTTTATATAAGATAGAAACGATAATGTTTTGGTGGAAAACATTAGCGTTTCTCACCGAAGGATCTAACCGGACGGCTAAGATTGGGGATAGAGAAAAACTTCGAGAGAGAGTCCGAGTGCCTCATAATTTATATTAGTCAAATAATTTGGATACATCTAGCTATTGACTGTAACGTAAAAAGTTGTAGATAACAACAGTATGTATGATACCGAAAGACGTTCGTAAACTAATAAAACAGAATGAAAAACAAGAAACAGAGGTCCATTTATACAGTTCTCTCGATTGATGGTGATCTCGGCCGCATGACGATATGAGCCATTCGACTACTATGAAAACCGAAAAAGAAAAACAAACAGCAATCTTGGGGAGACACTGCATTTTATTTTTATGCCACAAAGAGGTACAAGCAATTTGAAGCAAAAACGACTGGGAAAATAGGGTTAATCTGGGACGCGTCACTAAACGTCTACAATTGCTGAACGTGGTTAGTAATTTCTTCTGGGCAAGATTGGGCTTGTAAAAGCTCCAAACGTTGGTAAGGATGAGTAAACTGCAATATGTAATCTTCATCTGTAAAAAAATTAGCACATTTATTAAACAAGCGCACCATCTGACTGCTGAGGAAAACATTGTCTACGTTCAACAGAAATCTGAATCCCACTACTTCAGCTACGAAAAGCTATTATAAGATGCCACTCAATTCCTGTAAATACGATCAGTTTTATAGAATATATAACAAACTCATTTCGTAGTGATGTGTTACCGTTATAAATATAGTTGTAATGAGAGAGAAAGGAAGAACAGAAAGAACAAAACCTAGAAACAAAATTAAAATCGCTTTCAGTTTTCATTTTTTCGTTACCATCTATGTTTTCTTCATCTTCTCTCACATTTCCTTCTCCAATCTCTTTCTTCAATTAAGAAAGGGAGTAGAGAATCATATTCTCTTTTATACTTTTTCTAATTGAATGGGAAACAAATGAAGCTGAAGGAAAAATGGAGACAAAGATTTAAAACTCACTATCTTTTACGGTCCCATAGAGCCAGCATAATACCTCATCAGCAAATGCCAAGCAAACTCCTCCCTGCCAACCAGATTCATTAGAAGTGACAACCAGTTTCATTAATAGTGACAGATAGAACATTTATTCAGCACAACCATGATCGATAAACTTCACAAATACTAAGGTCGATAAATCAAATTTTTTTCAGTGTGACGGGTAGGAAGGTGGTTGGTTTTATGCTCAGAAACCATTTGCATCACAGAAAACAAAATTTACCTGCCAGTAGTTCTTCATTTTCACTCTTTGCGTTATATCTTTGGTTCTTAGTCTCTCTGTGCGAACAAGTTGACCTGCATCATTCCTGTAAAAAGGGAATATATATATTTATATATAAATTGTGTAGAGCAGCAAATGAAAGACCTACCACAAAAACTCTTCCACGAACAAGCAACTGCACAGTGGAATATATAATGCACGTATTTCTATGAATTTAAGTCATTTATGTCAACTATATAAATTACCTTTCTTTTGCACCTTTTAATACGCATAAGCTATCTATGCCATTTTGAAAGATAAGCAAACTTTGATGTATACAGTTAATGGTCTACCCAGTAAGAAAGTGAAAGGCTTAAGTAGCAATTTGGAAAGTAAAAGGCTTAAGCAGCAATTTGGATTACCTAAACCCAATGACAATATAGGGAACACCTGCTAAGAATGATTGAATCTGCACCAAATATAAGAGAAATGTTAACTCATTTACAATTACAGATTTTACAGAAGCCTGACGAAAATATAAAAGACAGGTTCACTCCTTTACGAAAAAAAAAAACAGATGCTTTGAAATATAAATAGGAAAAGGACTAGAGACAATGACAACCAATTCCTTGAGAAAACTAGATAATAAAACTGAAGTACAATCTAAATTCTGCCATTTTGCATGTCAATCTCTAACAAAAGCTATTGAAGACCCTGTGTGTTTTTAGGTAAGAAAACAGTAATGTACCCAAAACTTGAGGAGCTTCTCTTTCTCAAATTCATACTCTATTTTATGGTTGTCCAACTGCACAATTGAATGAGAAACTTACGGTCAGTTACATAAGAAAGCTCAGAGAAGAAAAAGAGTTGCATGTACAGGAGAGTGAAGAAAAACAAATGTCAACCTCACGGCTTGTCTTTAATTCCACATAAAACCTCCTTCCATCATCAGTTGAGTCACAGCAATCCATTTCAGCACCCATAAGAATGCGATGAGCCCCTAATTTTGTTTTGATCACAGAACAGTATTCAACATTGGCATCAACATGATGTATCCCTCCATCGCCTCTTCCTGGATCTTCAGTGGCAAGACTCTCAAAACAATACCCCCAGTAACACCTGAGTTGAATGGATAACATTGCATAAAGCACGCCTGAAAATGAAAATAAGCAATAATAGAAAGATGCATATCTAGGCATGCTTAGCCCTCTTGAACCAGTTAGATGAAGAACAACAAAATATCAGTTACAATTAGCTGCTAAGGTATCAATTAAAACACCAATATATCTCCCACAATCTAGATGACAGGAAGCATTTATGCCCAACTTCAATGAAGTAAATTATATACCTTATGAAATCACTTCTGCATCTACTCTAAATTACATCTCATTACTATATTAAATTCAAGAATAGCAACACGTTGAGCTTTGACAATCCTTATCAAATCTCCCGTTCTTTCATAATGAAAACTCGAAATAGTTGGCTGTTAATCCATCCTTCAGGTACAACTTGAGAAGAAGGGTTTGAAAACATTGATATTCATTAATAAATCTATTTCTTAAGCAGAAGAATTCCATTGATTAAAGCAAGGAGCAATTCCAATAACTCTATTAAACATACAAGGGAAGCAATTCCAAATGCTCCAAGAACATAGTCATTACCATCCTAGAAAGACCATACGAATTTCTAAAGAATAAATGAAAGTCCAGTACCTTCTTCGATCCAACTCAGTCTGTGGCCTTTCAGGTAGTTTATGCACATCAAGATAGACAACCCCATTCCTTTTATGCACTCCCATCTCCCAAGGATCCCTTTTATTATAAAAAGTGGCCAATATCTACATAAATAAAAATTAAATTAAATTAAAATAAAAATAAAAATAAAAAATAAAAACCAAGAGAAGCATATGAAATACAACAAAACACCTGTTAGCTAGTCCAACAAATACAACAGCTTAAAATATTACACTAATAACCAATTAGCTGAAGTACTCTACAGCATTGTGTCTCTAGTATGTTTCTTGAAGTATTGCCCCTTTCTTCATTTATTTGTACCACTAAGCGTGCATAAAGATAATTATAATTCAGTAACTTGAGTATCCATTAAAAAGAAGTCATCAGAGGCCTGCAGCTGCTCATTAGATTGGTTTAAGCATTCAACTGCTAGAATCTATACCCTCTTATCCAAAATCACTACACATCTACACACCATATGATAACTAATCCATGGTTCATCAATGATATCCATTCAAACTAATACAGGAAATTATCTTCAGAACAAAATACGGAAGGGGACTAAGAGATACCTTATTAAGATTGTTGCGATAAGTCTGTAAAAGACAAAAAGATGTCAAACAAATTAGTAGTTAATAACCCATATGGAAAAATTATAAATGAGAAAACTATAAGTGTAATACGCTTCGCACCACAAAATGAATGTTTTGAAGTGGAATATTCTTGTCTCTTATGCAGCCGAGAAGGTCACCAAAACCTTGAGAGCCCAAATCTGGTTCAGACAAGTAAAAAAACACAAAAACTCTCTGGCAAAGATCAGATCTCGTATGCAAAAAACCACAAAGAAACATATAAACTAACTCCAATACACATCTTATAAATCTAAAAAAAAAACTTATTTTGACACAAATCATACCTTTCTTCGCAATAAAAGTATCATAACCTTCATTCAGATCTCTTCCAATTTCTTCAGTAATAAGACGCTTGAAAAGCCTCTAATGTGGATGACAGAACAACATGAATTAGTTAGTGATCAGTGTGCACTGCATATACAAGAGAAACCTACCAAAAGAATGGACCATTCAGAAAGTACGCTACAGTATGCTTACCAAACTGGTCTCGTCAAAGCTGACATCTCCACCTTCTACCCGACTATAGCAAGCAAGCTCACAGGGCTATTGGGTAAAATTATTAAATTAGTGAAGAGAAAAAACAACTAACGTACACATAATGCACCAGTCAATTGACAAGGACGACTTATGAACAACAACAACAACAACAACAACAAAGCCTTTTCCCACTAAGTGGGGTCGGCTATATGAATCCTAGAACGCCATTGCGCTCGGTTTTGTGTCATGTCCTCCGTTAGATCCAAGTACTCTAAGTCTTTTCTTAGAGTCTCTTCCAAAGTTTTCCTAGGTCTTCCTCTACCCCTTCGGCCCTAAACCTCTGTCCCGTAGTCACATCTTCGAACCGGAGCGTCAGTCGGCCTTCTTTGCACATGTCCAAATCACCGGAGCCGATTTTCTCTCATCTTTCCTACAATTTCGGCTACTCCTACTTTACCTCGGATATCCTCATTCCCAATCTTATCCTTTCTCGTGTGCCCACACATCCCACGAAGCATCCTCATCTCCGCTACACCCATTTTGTGTACGTGTTGATGCTTCACCGCCCAACATTCTGTGCCATACAACATCGCTGGCCTTATTGCCGTCCTATAAAATTTTCCCTTGAGCTTCAGTGGCCTACGACGGTCACACAACACGCCGGATGCACTCTTACACTTCATCCATCCAGCTCGTATTCTATGGTTGAGATCTCCATCTAATTCTCCGTTCTCTTGCAAGATAGATCCTAGGTAGCGAAAACGGTCGCTTTTTGTGATCTTCGCTAGATTGCTCCGGTCATTAGTGTGGATAAGTATATAAATGGATAGAGATAGGAAAGCAAACACAAGATGTACGTGGTTCACCCAGATTGGCTACGTCCACGGAATAGAAGAGTTCTCATTAATTGTGAAGGGTTTACACAAGTACATAGGTTCAAGCTCTCCTTTAGTGAGTACAAGTGAATGATTTAGTACAAATGACATTAGGAAATATTGTGGGAGAATGATCTCGTAATCACGAAACTTCTAAGTATCGGAGTGTGGTGTCGTCTTGACTTGCCTTATCTGTCTCATAGGTAGATGTGGCATCTTCTCTGGAAGTACTCTTCCTCCATCCAGGGGTGGTATCTTTAACTGGTGGAGATGCACAAGGTAATGTATCAATTTCACTTGAAGCTTACTTGTAGTTTCAGGCTTGGTCAAGCGCGATACAAACCATGTAGTAGGAGTCCCCCAAGTCGCCGAGCTAGGGGGTCTGCTGAAAGAGGTGACAGACAAGGTAAGCAATCAGAGCTCCGACTGATTGTTCACCTTCTCCCCATCTTGCAGCAGCATGAAGGATAAAGAGAAGAAAAATGAGAAGAGATGATATGAGATACTTTTGCTTTTGAAGAAGTAACTTTCCACAGGCTTATTCTTGAACTGAGCTGGAGGGTTTTCTGGTTTCCTCCAGAGTATAAGGCCGACTGAAGAATTTGAGGGTCAAAACAAGTCCATCAAATCTAGAGTACGTTCCACCCTGCTGATATGGGATACTTTTGCTTTTGACAGAGTAATGGATGTATCGGCACGTGTGCTGTTACGCTTGTCTCCACATGCTTCCTTGTATCCTTCGCACTTGCCCTATCTGTTCCTCAAGCAGATGCGGAATCTTCCCTGGAAACATAAGATGTTGAAGATGAGTACTCGAGAGCAATGCCAGGTAAGTAATCAGGTAAGGGGTTCCAGGCAGTCAGTTCCTGGCTGGAAGCTTGATTCCAAGTGCTGACTGATTGCTCTCTTTCTCCTTGTCTTGCAGGTAAAAACAAGGCCAAAGGAAAAGACAGGGAAAAAGCATGATATGGGATACTCTTGCTTTTAACCCTGATGATATGAGATATTCTTGCTCTAGTATAGCTTGTTTGCAGAGGTATTATCGGGGGGAAAGAAAGCTGAATATTTCGAAAGGCTTCGTTGGGAGTGCCCTCTCAGATATGATGAAGGGTTGAGCATTTTTGCAGGTCTGCCTGTCCGTTGGGGATGGAGGTCGACATATATATAGGAGTCTCCCTAACAACAAGTAGTAATGCTATTCCTTTACCCTGCTTGGTCATAGCACGGTAGTGGGAGCTGCCAGTTTCACATGTTTTAACTCTGTCAGAGCACTTTGAAAAAGTGGTCTGTGGTATCTGGCTCTCGAGATTCGGAGAACGATGCCTCTTCGATTTTTGAGAAAGCAATCATGCTGGGGGTCTGGCTCTCGAGATTCGGAGAGCAGTGTCTCTTCGATTTTTGAGGAAGTAATCATGTTGGGAGTCTGGCTCTCGAGATTCGGAGGGCGGTGCCTCTTCGATTTTGGAGCAAGCAATCTTGTTGGGAGTGTTGTCTCGAATGTGAGTAAAGGTTGGGCATGTTTGCTAGTCTACCTTGCCACGAAGCACAAAGGTTGACACACAGGGACTTTCCAATTATCCAGCAATGGTACTGTTCCTTTACCCTCTCTTCGATTTTGAGAAAGTAGTCATGTTGGGAGTCTGGCTCTCGAGATTCGGAGGACGGTGCCTCTTCGATTTTGGAGCAAGCAATCTTGTTGGGAGTGTTTTTCTCGAATGTGAGTAAAGGTTGGGCATGTTTGCTAGTCTACCTTGCCACGAAGCACAGAGGTTGACACACAGGGACTTTCCAATTATCCAGCAGTGGTACTGTTCCTTTACCCTTGTGGGTAATAATATGGTAGCTAGACCTTCAAAATTTATGTGTCTAAACTTTGTTAGTGCTGTTTCTTTGCTATTCTTTTACCTTTCTTGGTCAGAGCGATGTAGTGGGAGCTGCAAGCTTCACGTGCTCAACTTTGGCAGAGAACTTTGGCAAAGTTATCTGTGGTACCCATGAGCTATTGTTGCGTGTGGGAAGTGGGTGATTGAACAGTAAGATTCATGTGCTTTCTACTTCACCAGAAGTCTTCGGCAGAATGCCCATAATTTCTGCAAAGCTGAGTGTGCGTGTGACAGGTGCTGACAGGCTAGAAAAGTAGGTGCCTCTTCGATTTCTGAGATCGGCCCTCGTGGTCTCTGAGCAGCCCAGCTTTTGAGAAAGCGAGCGCCTCTTCGATTGATTCGGAGAACGATGCCTCATCGATTTTTGAGAAAGCAATCATGCTGGGGGTCTGGCTCTCGAAGATTCGGGGAGCAGTGTCTCTTCGATTTTTTGAGAAAGTAATCATGTTGGGAGTCTGGCTCTCGAGATTCGGAGGGCGGTGCCTCTTCGATTTTGGAGCAAGCAATCTTGTTGGGAGTGTTTTCTCGAATGTGAGTAAAGGTTGGGCATGTTTGCTAGTCTACCTTGCCACGAAGCACAGAGGTTGACACACAGGGACTTTCCAATTATCCAGCAATGGTACTGTTCCTTTACCCTCTCTTCGATTTTTAAGAAAGTAGTCATGTTGGGAGTCTGGCTCTCGAGATTCGGAGGACGGTGCCTCTTCGATTTTGGAGCAAGCAATCTTATTGGGAGTGTTTTCTCGAATGTGAGTAAAGGTTGGGCATGTTTGCTAGTCTACCTTGCCACGAAGCACAGAGGTTGACACACAGGGACTTTCCAATTATCCAGCAGTGGTACTGTTCCTTTACCCTTGTGGGTAATAATATGGTAGCTAGACCTTCAAAATTTATGGGTCTAAACTTTGTTAGTGCTGTTTCTTTGCTATTCTTTTACCCTTCTTGGTCAGAGCGATGTAGTGGGAGCTGCAAGCTTCACGTGCTCAACTTTGGCAGAGAACTTTGGCAAAGTTATCTGTGGTACCCATGAGCTATTGTTGCGTGTGGGAAGTGGGTGATTGAACAGTAAGATTCATGTGTTTTCTACTTCCCCAGAAGTCTTCGACAGAATGCCCATAATTTCCGCAAAGCTGAGTGTGCGTGTGACAGGTGCTGACAAGGCTGGAAAAGTAGGTGCCTCTTCGATTTCTGAGATCGGCCCTCGTGGTCTCTGGGGAGCCCAGCTTTTGAGAAAGCGAGCGCCTCTTCGATTTCTGAGATCGGCCTTCGTGGTCTTTGAGCAGCCCAACTTTTGAGAAAGCAAACGCCTCTTCGATTTCTGAGATCAACCAGCTTTTGAGAAAGCAAACGCCTCTTCGATTTCTGAGCAGGCGCCTCTTCGATTTCTGAAGCTCCGTCGAGTGCAGATTTTTATAGGGGCTGGCATTAAGTTCCAAAGCACACTTGAATCTCCACCAGTAGAAGCTTCATTCTTGCACTTCTAAGATCTTGATTTGTCCGACCTCTTCTCTCTTCAACACCTTTGAAAATGTCTGGCCCCTCCGACCGTCGTTTTGACTTGAACCTTGTTGAAGAGGCAGCCCCGCCTTCTCCAGACAACATATGGCGCCCATCCTTCGTCTCCCCTACTGGTCCTCTTACCGTTGGGGATTCCGTGATGAAGAATGATATGACCGCTGCGGTGGTGGCCAGGAACCTTCTCACTCCCAAAGATAACAGACTACTTTCCAAACGGTCTGATGAGTTAGCTGTTAAGGATTCGCTGGCTCTCAGTGTTCAGTGTGCAGGTTCTGTGTCTAATATGGCCCAACGCCTATTTGCTCGAACCCGCCAAGTTGAATCATTGGCGGCTGAAGTGATGAGTCTCAAACAGGAGATTAGAGGGCTCAAGCATGAGAATAAACAGTTGCACCGGCTCGCACATGACTATGCTACAAACATGAAGAGGAAGCTTGACCAGATGAAGGAAACTGATGGTCAGGTTTTACTTGATCATCAGAGATTTGTGGGTTTGTTCCAAAGGCATTTATTGCCTTCGTCTTCTGGGGCTGTACCGCGTAATGAAGCTCCAAATGATCAACCTCTGATGCCTCCTCCTTCTAGGGTTCTGTCCAGTACTGAGGCTCCAAATGATCCCCCTCCGGTGCCTTCTCTTTCTGGGGCTCTACCGACTGCTGAGACTTCTCCTAAGCAACCTTTGTGAAGGCTCCCTCTTGTGTGTTTATTTTGACTCATGTATATGTACATATTTGTAGCTTATCGGGGATATCAATAAATAAGCTTTCCTTCATTTCAACGTATTGTGTTAAATACACCAAAGCCTTCTTCGCTAAGTTCTTTGAATTTTCTTTTGTTGAAGCTTGTATGTTGAAGCTTTCTGAGTGGGGCATGTAGGTTGGGGTAGTGTTCCCTTAATTTAATTTATGAGTGAGCAAAAAAGCAAGTCACTTAAGAATAATGTAACTGTGTCAATTGTATATGAATGTTTTATTTATCTGTCCCTTATTACTAATTATTAGGAAGAAAGTAGCATAAAATTGATTACTAGACATACTTCCTGAAATGCAACGGCCTTTCTTGACAGTGTTTCTCCACTCTTTGAAAGTAGTCTTAGTTCCGAGACAAAACGTTCATCGCGATAACCATTTGAGCCATCATATCCAAAATTTTGCCTCTGCTGAAAAGGTCCACCTCGACCAAGGATGCCTGCACCTCTATCATTTGGACGTCCAGATGGCCAACGACCACGCCCTGAATTCCCTCTACCCTGATTATTCGTATTGCGTATGACAGGCAATACTGCCAAGAAAATGTTTGGTTAGTATGGGGTTTCAACGTACAGCAATCCAAAGGGAGTATCAAACTAAGCATTTTAGCTGAAACGTCAAAAGCTCATATCTTAGTAACAAGTTCAACCTACAAGTATCTAAACATTAACCCCTCCCAGCATATGCAACGCTTCAAGACGAAGGAACGCTAGTAGAAACAAAATTACAGTCACAAAACCCAAAAAGAAAATTACTAAAACAAATTACAGAAACAAATAAAAACCAGAAAGAAAAAAAAGTGCGCGGGAAACAAATATGTAAAACACCAATCAAAGAAGGCCAATTGGGTAAGCCAGAAAACCCATCAATGAAACTTAATAAGCAACCAAATCAGAAAAATGCAAGATACCCATCAAAGAAATTCACTTGGGCAAAGCTGCAAGCCTACAAATGTCATGAATTTAACCCAATAAGCAACAAAATCACCAAAATGCTGAGTACCCATTTCTCAACACAACAAAAACACCAAAAAATACTATACCAAAGCACATATAAAAGGCCATGAAAAAGGTAATTACCAGGAATAGGGAAAGGACTAGTAGCAGGGGTTTTACAGTAATCTTCATTGTCAGAGCCAAACAAATCCTTGTCGTCCTCCCCAAAATAACCCATATTGCTATACTCATTGTCGTCGGTGGCGGCATTTGAATAATCAGCCTCTTCGCCATTCTCTACCTCTTCTTCCCCACCGCCAGCGCCGCCGCCACTGCTTGCGCTCGGGCTATTCCCGCTGCTGGACTCGCCTCCTTCGTTGGATGAAGAAGAAGCCGATGAGGATGAAGATGAGGACGAAGACGACGATGAGGAGGAGGACGGTGAGGATGAACGGGCCCCATCTTGTTTATTACCGTCGTCGTCGTCGTCGTAGTCTGGCCCGAAGATATTTTTGTGGTGTTCTGAAAAATCCATCCGGTGGGGTGGGGGGGGGGAGCGAGCTGGAAACTGGATGTGGGAGAAACTGGATGTGGGAGACTGAGTTCGTGTGCAAGGTAACTCGGTTTTCAGTAGGGACGAGAGGGTGGGGTATTCCGAGTCCACCCGGTGAGCGGGCTCAAAACTTAACTTCTAATTGTATTTGGAAAATTACATTTAAACACCTTAATTATGTGACATAACAAACTCCTACTTTATTTTTTTTAACATCACAATGTCATACATTAATTATGAATTCGTTATAATATCAGACTTTTGTTACATAATTTGTTAAATTGATTGTAAGTGATGACGTGCCAAATATAAAGTTTACATTTTTAGTACAAATGTCGATGCAAATTCATAACACCTCATAACTTGAAGATCAATTCAAATATAAAATACAACTCAAATTGAATTTAGCAAGTTTACGATCTAGTAGCTGTAAGATCAGTGCTTAACCTCTCACTAAACCTGTTACACAAACCAAGAGGGCTACAAGTCACTAAGCCTTAATTCTGAAAGAGAAAACAGCTACCTATATAACATGTGACTTCAAATCACCGATTCACTGTCCAATTGCAAACTATGTGTCTTCAACTCAAGAGAAATGTGCATAAAGCCACTAAGACAAACCGAAAAATAAACAAAAAGCATGCCATGACAAGTCATCAAGGGAACTTCAAAGGTGAAAATTTTCAACCCAATAAAAAATATCAATAAAGACTGGAAATCAACATTTAGAGTCATTTGTTAAGGTACCAATAACCCATGTCACAATAAGTGAGAAAACCAGTGTAAAATCATGCTCCTCTTGATCATACAAAAGCATGAGATTATCCACAACCAAATACAAAAATTTTAACTTCTATAGTTTCAACATTTCATCTTCAAATTCCGGAGTGTCATTTTCTTCCTTTTTCTATTGTCTTGGCAACCTGAATGAGGATTGACTGGATGGATATTATGAAAAGTTGCAGATGAATCATTTGATGTCCTTTCAATTGACACACAGCCTCCTTTCAAACATAATTGGAAAAGTTTATCCACCTTTGGATCCATCTCATAACTTAATGAGAGATTGGGAGTCTAAGATGAACTCTTAAAAAACAGCCTTGCCTTCAAGCATGCTCACAACTACAGACATGGTAGCCTAAGCTTTGAAGTGGAATTACAGCAATGGAGAGCCACATTGATTGTAGTCATCGTCTCTTCATTGTTGAATTTCGAGCCTAACTTTAGATCCATTAGGTTCATCAAATTTCCTTTCAATTTGAGAACATGTGCCTACAAAACATGAAAGGAACAAAAGAAAAATAACTTATGTATCTTAAAAAATAACATGAATTTTCAATAAAGAAGAATATAAAAAAGCTTTCTATCTAGTGGTAAACAACATCAACAAAAATCACAATTAAAGTCCAATTAAAAAGTTACTCAATCAAGAATATAAAATCCTTATGCATTTGTCTACTGAGTTGAGTTCTTCTTCCCACTAATATCTATAGTAGAATAATGCCAAAGTTGTAAACATCTACTTTATCAGTCAAATGGGCCCAAATTGCATATTTTGGTGTCATGTTTCATTTGTAAAGTCATGAAATCACAACATCAATACAATAGTTGCAAAAATACATCATAATATAACTATATTGTAAGATTAAATATAACAAGTTAAAACATAGGGACTCACAAAGTTCTAGCTATATAGGTGCTTATATGTGTTTTATCATCTTTGGCAAGTTTGGCCAATCCAGAGTCTGATATCTTTGGGTTAAGATGTCTATCAAGCAACACATTAGTAGTCTTGATATCTCTATGAATAATCTTCATGCTTGATTCCTTATGAAGGTAACCAAAGATTTTGCAATACCAACATATATCTTATGTCTCATTGGCCAAGCCAACTTCAACCAACTTTCTTTTACCCTTTTAGTTTGTTAAGTTAATCAAAATCAATCATAATTTGTGAATAAAATATCTTATACCATATGCATGGACCAAAGGAAATGTAGGCATACAAAAGTGATATTTACCAAACAAAGCATAAGAAACGTTATTACTTTCCATAAACTCATAGACAAGATATATTTGACTTCCTTCAATACAACATCCATATAGGTTTACAAGATGAGAGTATTGCAAAGCAGAAATCATGCCTTTCTCATTCACAAATTCACGATTTCCTTGCTTTGATTTGGAAGAAATCTGCTTAACAGCTATCATGGTTCCATCTGCTAGGATGCATGCATTTGACTAAGATAGTTAAAACAAATCTATTCACTAGGGAGAAATTAACCATAATTAGGACTATTATTAATCAAATTAGGAAAGAAATTATTGGTTTTGAAAAATATGTTATAAACAAAACCATCTTTGAGCTGGAAATTGAATGTGAGAGACTGAGTTCGTGTGAAAGATGACTTAATTTTCAGTTGGGACGAGAAGGAGAGGTATTAGGAGTCCACCCAGTGAGCGGCCTCAAAACCTAACTTTTAAATTTCTTTTTGGGAAATTACATTTTACCACCTCAATTAGGTGACATAACAAACTCATACCTCATTTTTTAAGCATCACAATGTCATACATCAATTTACAAATTTGTTGCAATGTAAGACCTTTGTTATCTGTTAAATTGAATGTTAAGTGAAGGCGTGCCAAATCTAGAGTTTACATTTTTAGTACAAATGTTGATGCAAACCCAGGAAACCTCCTAACTTATAGATCAATTCCAATACAATATACGACTCAAATTGAATTTAGCAAGTTTACAATCATAAATTAGTAGTTGTAAGATCCAGTGTTTAACCTCTCACTAAACTTGTTACATATATTAAGGAGCTACAAGTAACTAAGCCTTAAGGCTGAGAGAGAAAACAACAAACTTTAGAACATGTGACATCAAACCAACCAGGTCACTATCCAAACGCAAACTATGTATCTCGAACTCAAAAGAAATGTGCATGAAGTCACTAAGACAAACCAAAAAATAAACAAAAAAAATGTCATGACAAGTCATCAGGGGAACTTCAAAGGTGAAATTTTTCAACCCAATAAAAATGTATCAGTTAAGACTGGAAGTTAACATTTGAAGTTATTTACTAAGGTATCAATGAGAAACAGTGCCAAATCATGGTTCTCTTAATCATACAAAAGAAAGAGATTATCCATAACCAAAATACAAAATTTTAACTTATATAGTTTCCACATTTCATCTTCCAATGCCTAAAAATTGTGTCATTTTCTTCCTTTTTCTATTGTCTTGACAATCTTAATGAAGATTGATTTGATGAATATCATGAAGAGTTGTAGATTAATCATTCTATGACCCTTCAATTGACCCAGCGCCCCCTCTCAAACAGAACTAGAAAAGTTTCTTCACCATTGACTCCATCTCATTACTTGATGAGGGATTGGCGTCTAATATGAACTCTTAAACAGTAGTCTTGCCTTAAAACATGCTCACAACTGCATATATGGTAGGCCTAAGCTTTGAAGTGGAATTACAGTAATGGAAATCCACATTGATTGTAGTCATTATCTCTTCATTGTTGAATTCTAAGCCCAACCTTGGATCCACTAGGTTCATCAATTTCCTTTCCAATTTGAGAACATGTGCCTTAAAATATGAAAGGAACAAAATAACTTTTGTATCTTAAAAAATAACGTAAACTTTCAACAAAGAAGAATATAAAAAATAAAAATAAATAAAAAACTTCTATTTAATAGTAAAAAAAACATCAACAAAATCAAAATTAAAGTTCAAATGGGAAGTTACCCAATAAAGAGTATAAAATCCTTTTGCACTTTGAATTGAGTTCTTCTTCTCACTACTAACCTCTAGTAAAATAATTCCAAAGTTGTAAACATTTGCTTTATCAGTCAAATGACCCTAAATTTCATATTCTAGTGCCATTAATCCACTATAAAATCATGAAATCACAATATCAATACAATAGTTATAGACATATGCCATAATATAACTATTAGAAAATTCTATTTCAATCATTGAAGAATATTACTTTTAGAATAAAACCGTATATAAGATTAAAAACTAACTATAGTCATTGTCATTTAATTGTAACAATCAAATATAAATTAAGTTGTAATAATTATTGGGCTTTTGTATGTAGGTTATATATTGATCCTTATAAACAATAAAAATATTATTTAACAATTATTATTAAGTTCCCAGAATGAAAAAAACCATATATATATCATATATACTTCATTGTGCGTAAATTTATATATATATATATATATATGCATATATATGCATATTATTTACCTATGTATGTACTACAATTATGTGCCGAGACATTTTGTACCAAAACTTATGTACTGATATATTCATACAGAAACTTGTGTCGATGCAATTGTACCGAAATTTATGTACCAATACATTCATACCGAAACATAAGTATTGATACATTTGTACCAAAACTTATGTACTGATCCAATCGTACCAAAGCTTATGTATTGATGCATCGTACCGAAACTTATGTACCGAAACTTATGTGTTGATACTTCCGTATCAATGAGATTTTTTTATTTTATTTTATATAAATATAAATTATTTTTTGTATTGTTGTTGACTTTTTTTAATTATAAGAAATTGAATTTTAATAAGTTTTATCTATTTATATGATTGAAGCACAAAACAATATATTAATTATGGACGAACAGACATTTTCGAATGGTAAGTTATAAATAATAATGTGCTATAAATACTTAATCATGGTAGGTTTTAATAATAGGACTTAAATTAGATTCATAAAACCATCCAGATTAAAATCTAAAAGAAAATCTTATTTAAGTCCTAAAATCTAAAAGTCCATATAACTATTGTAAGAGCAAATATAAGAAGTTAAAAACAGGGACTCATAAAGTTTCAGCAGCATGGGTGCTTTATTTTATCCTCTTCGGTAAGTTTGACAATCCAAAGTCCGATATCTTTGGGTTAAGATGTCTATCAAGCACATGTTAGTAGCATTGATATCTCTATGAATTATCTTCGAGCTTGATTCCCTTTTTCTACACCAACATATATCTTATGCCTAGTTAGCCAATCCAACTTCAACTGACTTTCTTCCACCCCTTCAGTTTGTCAAGTTAATCAAAATCAGTCATAATTTGGGCCACAAAATTACCATATGCATGGACCAAAGAAAATGTAGGCATACAAAAATGATGCTTACTAAATAAAGCATGGGAAACATTATTGTTTTCCATGTACTTGTAAACAAGGTATAATTGATTTCCTTTAATACAACATCCGTATAGGTTTACAAGATGTGGGTGTTGCAAAGCAAAAATGATACATATCTCATTTACAAATTCACAATTTCCTTGCTTTGATTTGGAAGAAAGTTGCTTAATAGCTATCATATTTTCATTTGTCAGGATGCATTGCATTTGACTAAGATAGTTAAAACAAATCTAATCACAAGGGAGAAATTAATCATAATTAGGATGACTATTATTAATCCAATTAGAAGAAGAAGAAAAAATTTATTCATTTCGAAGAATATCATGAAGAGTTGTAGATGAATCATTATATGGCATTTCAATTGATTCAGCTCCCCCTCTCAAACAGAACTAGAAAAGTGTCTTCACCGTTGGCTCCATCTCATTACTTGACTAGGGATTGACATCTAATATGAACTCTTAAACAATAGCCTTTTCTTCAAACATGCTTACAACTACATACATGGTAGCCCTAAGCTTTGAAGTGGAATTACAGTAATGGATAGCCACGTTGATTGTAGCCATCATCTCTTCATTGTTGAATTCTGAGCCCAACCTTGGATCCACTAGGTTCATCAATTTCCTTTCCGATTTGAGAAGATGTGCCTAACAATATGAAAGGAACAAAAAAACTTATGTATCTTAAAAAAATAATGTGAACTTTCAACATAGAAGAATATAAAAAATAAAAAACTTCTATGTAATAGTAAAAAACATCAACAAAATCAAAATTAAAATTCCATTGGGAAGTTACCTAATAAAGAGTATAAAATCCTTTTGCATTTTGAGTTGAGTTCTTCTTCTCACTAATAACCTCTAGTATAATAATGCCGAAGTTGTAAACATCTGCTTTATTAGTCAAATAACCCTAAATTTCATATTCTAACGTCATTTATCCACTGCAAAATTATGAAATCACGATATCAATACAATAGTTATAGACATGCCGTAATATAACTATTAGAAAATTCTATTTCAATAAGTGAAGAAGATTACTTTTAGAATAAAACCGTGTATAAGATTAAAAACTAACTTTAGTCCTTGCCATTTAATTGTAACGATCAAATATAAATTAAGTTGTAATAATTTTTGGGTTTTTGTATGTAGGTTATATATTGATCCTTACAAACAATAAAATATTATTTGACAATTATTATTAAGTTCCCAGAATGAAAAAAGCCATATATATCATATATCCTTCATTGTGTTTAAATTTCTCTATATATATGTATATGCATATTATGTACCTATGTATGTACTACAATTATGTGCCGAGACATTTTGTACCAAAACTTATGTACTGACATATACGTACCAAAACTTGTGTTGATACAATTGTACTGAAATTTATGTACCGATACATTCGTATCAAAACATAAGTACTGAAACATTTGTACCGAAACATATGTACCTATGCAATCGTACCGAAGTTTATGTACTGATGTATCGTATCGAAACTTTTATACTGGTGCAATCGTACCGAAACTTATGTGTTGATACTTTCGTACCAATGAGATTTTTTTTTAATTTTATATAAATATAAAAAAAAATTTGTATTGTTGTTGACTTTTTTTAATTATAAGAAATTGAATTTTAATAAGTTTTATCTATTTATATGATTGAAGCGCAAAAAAATATATTAATTAAAGACGAACATACATTTTCGAATGGTAAGTTATAAATAATAATGTGCTATAAATACTTAAATATGTTAGGTTTTAATAATAGGATTTAAATTAGATTCACAAAACCATCCAGATTACAATCTAAAAAATCTTATTTAAGCCCTAAAATCTAAAAGTCCCTATAACTATTGTAAGAGTTAATATAAGAAGTTAAAAACATAGGGACTCATAAAGTTCCAGCAGCATGGGTACTTATATGTGTTTGATCCTCTTCGGCAAGTTTGGCTAATCCAAAGTCCGATATCTTTGGGCTAAGATGTCTATCAAGCACATGTTCGTAGCATTGATATCTCTATGAATAATCTTCAAGCTTGATTCCCTTTTGCTACACCAACATATATCTTATGCTTCGTTTGCTAATCCAACTTCAACTGACTTTCTTCCGCCCCTTCAGTTTGTCAAGTTAATCAAAATCAGTCATAATTTGGGGAATAAAATTTATTATACCATATGCATGGACCAAAGCAAATGTTGGCATATAAAAGTGATGCTTACTAAATAAAGCATGGGAAACATTATTGTTTTCCTTGTACTTGTAAACAAGGTATAGTTGATTTCCTTCAATACAGCATTCATATAGGTTTCCAAGATGCAGGTGTTGCAAAGCAAAAATGATACATATATTCACGATTTCCTTGCTTTGATTTGGAAGAAAGCTGCTTAATAACTATTATGGTTTCATTTGCCAAGATGTGTTGCATTTGACTAAGATAGTTAAAACAAATCTATTCATAAGGAAGAAATTAATCATAATTAGGATGACTATTATTAATCCAATTAGAAGAAAAAAAATTATATCATTTCGAAGAATATCATGAAGAGTTGTAGATGAATCATTCTATGGCCCTTCAATTGACTCAGCGCCCCTCTCAAACAGAACTAGAAAAGTTTCTTCATCGTTGGCTCCATCTGATTACTTGATGAGGGATTGGCATCTAATATGAACTCTTAAACAGTAGTCTTGTCTTAAAACATGCTCATAATTGCAGACATAGTAGCCCTAAGCTTTGAAGTGGTATTATAGTAATGGATAGCCACATTGATTGTAGCCATCATCTCTTCATTGTTGAATTCTAAGTCCATCCTTGGATCCACTAGGTTCATCAATTTCCTTTCCGATTTGAGAACATGTGTCTTACAATATGAAAGGAACAAAATAACTTATGTATCTTAAAAAATAACATAAACTTTCAACAAAGAAGAATATAAAAAAAAAAAAAAAACTCTATGTTATAGTAAAAAACATCAACAAAATCAAAATTGAAATTCAATTGGGAAGTTACCTAATAAAGAGTATAAAATCTTTTTGCATTTTGAGTTGAGTTCTTCTTCTCACTAATAACCTCTAGTAGAATAATTACAAAGCTGTAAACATCTGTTTTATTAGTCAAATGACCCTAAATTTCATATTCTAACGTCATTTATCAACTGCAAAATTATGAAATCAAGATATCAATACAATAGTTATAGACACGCCATAATATAACTATTAGAAATTCTATTTCAATCATTGAAGAAGATTACTTTTAGAATAAAACTGTGTATAAGATTAAAAACTAACTTTAGTCATTGCCATTTAATTGTAACAATCAAATATAAATTAAGTTATAATAATTATTGAGCTTTTGTATGTAGGTTATATATTGATCCTACAAACAATAAAATATTATTTGCCAATTATTATTAAGTTCCTAGAATAAAAAAGCCATATATATATATATATATATATATATATATATATATATATCATATATCCTTCATTGTGCGTAAATTTCTCTATATATATGTCTATGCATATTACGTACCTATTTATGTACTACAATTATGTGCTGAGACATTTTGTACCAAAACTTATGTACCGATATATTCGTACAAAAACTTGTGTCGATGCAATTGTACCGAAATTTATGTACCGATACATTCGTACCGAAGCATAAGTACCGATACATTTGTACCGAAACTTATGTACCGATGTAATTGTACCAAAACTTTGTGTTGATACTTCCGTACCAAATGAGGTTATATATATATATATATTATTTGTTTGTTATATTGTTGTTGACTTTTTTTAATTATAAGAAATTTATTTTTAACAAATTATATATACTAAAACTCAGTTTCTGAACACTGTTCATTAACAGTGATTTGACGAAATTGCCCTTCAGTTTCTTCTTGATCACCCGTTGTGTGGCCTCTTTTACACAGTGAAATGACCACTTTGTCCTCGTTGGCCACGTGTTCTTCATTGATGGCCTTTCCTGTTGGATTTCTCTGCTGTTTCATTCTCTGCCTTCCATTTCCTGCTATCGCTTTTTTTTCTTTTCTGCTCCACGTCTACACGTGTTGGTCATCGCGGAAAGAAAAGGGCATCCCCCATCGCCGACGAAAGAAATGGAAAAACCATTTGCTTCCATTCGCCAATCTTACAAAGGGCATCCCCCATCGCCGTTCTCGAGTTCTTTTCTTATTTGTGTGCCAGTTGTGGTGCTCTCTTGGGGTTTCTGTACGCATTGGTCATCTGGAAGGGAAAGAAAAATCTGTGCAACTGGGGTCTCTCTCTCATTCCACTTTGTGTAATTCCACTTTTCTAAAAAAAAAAAAAATCCAAAATTGGCTCTCCAGGACTGGAACTGGAAGTATGAGGTACCCTTTTCTTTTTTCGGTATTTTTTTGTTTAATTTCTTTATTTCATGCATGGTGGATTTCTCTTTGGTGATTATTGAATTGCTTATATATTTGCTTGGTATTTAGGATGATCTAATTTTTCTGGCTTTTCAAGAGCAGCGGCATGAGGTACACATTTTTTTTTCTTTTTCTGGTTTTTCTTTTTTTAATTTTCTAATTTTTATGTAATGGATGGAGGTGGATTCTCTGAGTATTCCTGGGATGGTGAGAAATTGGAGCTCATATGGGGCCAGATCCATTTGGATTTTGGTGTCTAATTGGAGGAAAATAAAATAAAATAAAATTGGGGTTTGTAGTGATTTGGTGTTTGGTTTTATTTAATTTTTATTCTTGCATGTTTGCTTTTTATGATTTTTCACTGTTTGTTTTGTTAGTTGAAGATTACGGTGTTCGATTGATTTCAAAGGGGTGAGTTGTTAATTTGCCCTTTATTTATTCATGTTATTTTATGAATGCTTGCATAATATAGTTGAAGATTACAGTGTTCGATTGATTTCAATGGGGTGAGTTGTTAATTTGTCCCCTATTTATTCATGTTATTTTATGAATGCTTGCATAATCTGTATCTCATTTCACTAACTCTTTGGGTGTATTTTTGATAAATTGTCACTGTTTTTTTTTTTTGTTAATTTTTAATTCTCTGTGTTTGTTGTTTACCCCAGAATTTGGACATCAATTTGTTCTGTTTTCTTGGTGGTTTGATGCGTTTTATGTTGTGTTTTTCGGTCAATTGACTCAGTTCATATGATTATTTTTCATGGTTTCCATGCCATATTGGTTGAATTTATTTTAACCATATTTATTTTTGTTGCAGCCATATCTCATATAAACAACAAGTGAAAGGTTTACAGGACATTAACCAATTACTTGGGCTATTAGTTCCTTTACTTTGTGATGTCCCTGGTGTGAGTAAAAAAATGTTCAGGTACTTTATAGTTAGGAAGATTTAACGATGCCTTTTCTATGTGCTTTACTTTATTATGTTTTGATAAACCAAGGTTCAGCAACAGGTTACTGAAATTATCACTTAAATATATAGCCTCCACCACAAAGTAATTTCCTAAGAAATATGTAGTACTTTGTCTTCTGGGTTAGTGTTCTCTAATTTAGATTAGACATTAGGGCGAGCTTGGTAATGTTTCTTTTCTTGATATACCTCATTTTTTTATTCATTGTTTTTCTTTTTGGAATTTTTGATTTACGGATAAATTCTACATTTAAATTCTCTTTTTGTGATCCTGCAGATTTTGTCTCTGTAATCAGATAGTTGATATCACTGATTGATTTCATTGTTCTTCACTTTCAAGAAGCATCGGTGTTTATTGAAGGTTATATAATCCATTTAGACATTTAGTTTCTCTTTTCTGTTAAACTTTTGTTGCTGCCTCCCCCCTCCCTTTTTTTCCGTTTTTATCCACTTCTCTTTCACTTTTGTGCAATCCATTGTCCTCAGTTTATAATCTTTCGTTGGATAATCTGATCGCCCAATCTATTCTCAAGCGATATCTTTGGTTTTAAACTGTTCTAATCAGTTTAATCTTTAGATTGTTCAATGTTAACCCCAACATTTTATTTTCGTTCTATACCCATTGGAACCAAACTTAATTGGCACTAAAAATGTAAAAAGCCTTTAACTATACCATGAATGCAATGTTAGCCAGTAAATAATTATAAAAGTAACTTCGTCATGGGCTATAATCATATCCAGCATCGTTCCATTGTTACCAACCTTTAAAATAAAAGTTTGCATCAGTATGTTGTACCTCTCTATTTCAATCTTAACCACTAGCAGCTACAATTTTGTATTAATCACCGTCATCGATTGTTCTTAACATATGATCATTAGATCCCAATATGTCAACCGTCGTTTTCCCTACCTTATCATATGTGAAACGATTATATTTGCACTCACTTTTATTCATTGGAAACAATATTTGTGTCTCTCTCTATATCCAATTCTTGGTGCAAAATGTTTACAATTTGATCTGTTTCAGGTTCCTACAGCCAAATTGGAATCAATCTGAAAGAACTGTGTCTATTCGCCGTCTTCAAGGTATAATCACTCTCAACTTTTAATTTCTTTTTCAACATTTTTTCATTTTGCATTTCTAAAAAAACCTTTATTCAATAGATACTGATATGGTCACTTATGGCATTAAAAAAACTTCATCTTTTTTGTCAATATTTAAGTTTTTCTTATTTTTCTTCATGAACCAGGTCAGCCCATAACTCTGTAACCATCCACGTGTATAACTTATCCATTTTTATCATTGTGGTATCAATACAAATTTACTCTTATTTTTTGAGTTGGGATTGGTCTTAAAACACAAGAACCAAAATGTAATTGATCCCATTGTTCTGTACACAAAAATTCCATCGACCCAAAAACCTCACATGGAAAACAAACGTATTCATCTCTTTTTTTTTTCCTGCTTCTCCTTAGTTTTAACCTAATTTTTTTCATTTTTTTTTCACAGCATTTTTTCCTTCATGATTAGGTTTAGCACACAGTTTTTAAACCTGTTAAACCATATTCGTTTTAAGTGTTTTGCTTCGGATTTGTGATTGATATCAACTTGGTCAGGTTTTCATTACTTGCAAAGCATGTTTAGAGTAATGCCTTTAAACTGTGTCAATTTTTCAATGAAAAGTCTTGAATGCCTTGACATTTATCCATTGGATAAATTCATTACATTCTTTTGGGTGAAACACTAAAGGTCCCATACGCCAGTCTCTCTTTTATCATCATTAGTAAACTATCTTATCATTTTCAGCCCAACTTCAGCAGTCCGCATTTACTAATGAAATGATTGTTTGTTGACAGTTTGAGTTGAGTACCTCTAGAAAATATCTATGCATGGACCACTACTGTAACCCGTTCTTAACCGATGAACTTCAAACTATGGTGCGTATCGCGTCATTTTGCCTTCCTCCCTATTTATTCAGCTATTACATATCCAATTGTATTGATTCCTACAGAACAATGTTTACTTTTCTCGGCAACCTCTTTACAATGTTTTACAATTTCTTTCTTGCTACATTATAATAGAAATCTGAAGTACAAAGTCAATTTAAAAACCTAATATCTATCTATTTTCTTAGTATAAAAACCTATAATCTATCTATGTTCTTCTTTGTATTTTTTTCATTACAACAGTATAGCACCGCAGCAACGCGCGGGCAGCCTAGCTAGTTTTATCTATTTATACGATTGAAGCACAAAAAAATATATTAATTATGGACGAATAGACATTTCGAATGGTAGGTTATAAATAATAATGTGCTATAAATACTTAAATACGGTAGGTTTTAATAATAGGACTTAAATTAGATTTATAAAACCATCCAGATTAAAATCTTAAAAAAAATCTTATTAAGCCCTAAAATCTAAAAGTCCCTATAACTATTGTAAGAGCAAATATAAGAAGTTAAAAACATAGGGACTCATAAAGTTCCAACAATATAGGTGCTTGTATGTGTTTTATCCTCTTCGGCAAGTATGGCCAATCCAAAGTCCGATATCTTTGGGTCAAGATGTCTATCAAGCACATGTTAGTAGCATTGATATCTCTATGAATTATCTTCGAGCTTGATTCCCTTTTTCTACACCAACATATATCTTATGCCTCGTTGGCCAATCCAACTTCAACTGACTTTCTTCCACCCCTTCAGTTTGTCAAGTTAATCAAAATCAGTCATAATTTGGGCCACAAAATTGCTTATACCATATGCATGGACCAAAGAAAATGTAGGCATACAAAAATGATGCTTACTAAATAAAGCATGGGAAACATTATTGTTTTCCATGTACTTGTAAACAAGGTATAATTGATTTCCTTTAATACAACATCCGTATAGGTTTACAAGATGTGGGTGTTGCAAAGCAAAAATGATACATATCTCATTCACAAATTCACAATTTCCTTGCTTTGATTTGGAAGAAAGTTGCTTAATAGCTATCATATTTTCATTTGTCAGGATGCATTGCATTTGACTAAGATAGTTAAAACAAATCTAATCACAAGGGAGAAATTAATCATAATTAGGATGACTATTATTAATCCAATTAGAAGAAGAAGAAAAAAATTATTCATTTCGAAGAATATCATGAAGAGTTGTAGATGAATCATTATATGGCCTTTCAATTGATTCCGCTCCCCCTCTCAAACAGAACTAGAAAAGTGTCTTCACCGTTGGCTCTATCTCATTACTTGACGAGGGATTGACATCTAATATGAACTCTTAAACAGTAGCATTTTCTTCAAACATGCTTACAACTACATACATGGTAGCCCTAAGCTTTGAAGTGGAATTACAGTAAAGGATAGCCACGTTGATTGTAGCCATCATCTCTTCATTGTTGAATTCTGAGCCCAACCTTGGATCCACTAGGTTCATCAATTTCCTTTCCGATTTGAGAAGATGTGCCTAACAATATGAAAGGAACAAAAAAACTTATGTATTTTAAAAAAATAACGTGAACTTTCAACATAGAAGAATATAAAAAATAAAAAACTTCTTTGTAATAGTAAAAAACATCAACAAAATCAAAATTAAAATTCCATTGGGAAGTTACCTAATAAAGAGTATAAAATCCTTTTGCATTTTGAGTTGAGTTCTTCTTCTCACTAATAACCTCTAGTATAATAATGCCGAAATTGTAAACATCTGCTTTATTAGTCAAATAACCCTAAATTTCATATTCTAACGTCATTTATCCACTGCAAAATTATGAAATCACGATATCAATACAATAGTTATAGACATGCCGTAATATAACTATTAGAAAATTCTATTTCAATCAGTGAAGAAGATTACTTTTAGAATAAAACCGTGTATAAGATTAAAAACTAACTTTAGTCCTTGCCATTTAATTGTAACGATCAAATATAAATTAAGTTGTAATAATTTTTGGGTTTTTGTATGTAGGTTATATATTGATCCTTACAAACAATAAAATATTATTTGACAATTATTATTAAGTTCCCAGAATGAAAAAAACCATATATATCATATATCCTTCATTGTGTGTAAATTTCTCTATATATATGTATATGCATATTATGTACCTATGTATGTACTACAATTATGTGCCGAGACATTTTGTACCAAAACTTATGTACCGACATATACGTACCAAAACTTGTGTTGATACAATTGTACTGAAATTTATGTACCGATACATTCGTATCAAAACATAAGTACTGAAACATTTGTACCGAAACATATGTACCTATGCAATCGTACCGAAGTTTATGTACTGATGTATCGTATCGAAACTTTTATACTGGTGCAATCGTACCGAAACTTATGTGTTGACTTTCGTACCAATGAGATTTTTTTTAATTTTATATAAATATAAATTTTTTTTGTATTGTTGTTGACTTTTTTTAATTATAAGAAATTGAATTTTAATAAGTTTTATCTATTTATATGATTGAAGCGCAAAAAAATATATTAATTAAAGACGAACATACATTTTCGAATGGTAAGTTATAAATAATAATGTGCTATAAATACTTAAATATGGTAGGTTTTAATAATAGGATTTAAATTAGATTCACAAAACCATCCAGATTACAATCTAAAAAATCTTATTTAAGCCTTAAAATCTAAAAGTCCCTATAACTATTGTAAGAGTTAATATAAGAAGTTAAAAACATAGGGACTCATAAAGTTCCAGCAGCATGGGTACTTATATGTGTTTGATCCTCTTCAGCAAGTTTGGCCAATCCAAAGTCCGATATCTTTGGGTTAAGATGTCTATCAAGCACATGTTCGTAGCATTGATATCTCTATGAATAATCTTCAAGGTTGATTCCCTTTTGCAACACCAATAAAATTTCTTATACCATATGCATGGACCAAAGCAAATGTTGGCATATAAAAGTGATGCTTACTAAATAAAGCATGAGAAACATTATTGTTTTCTTTGTACTTGTAAACAAGGTATAATTGATTTCCTTCGATACAGCATCCATATAGGTTTACAAGATGAGGGTGATGCAAAGCAAAAATGATACATATCTCATTCACAAATTCACGATTTCCTTACTTTGAGTTGGAAGAAAGTTGCTAATAGCTATCATGGTTTCATTTTCTAGGATGCATTGCATTTGACTAAGATAGTTAAAACAAATCTATTCACAAGGGAGAAATTAACCGTAATTAGGATGACTATTATTAATCCAATTAGAAAAAACAATTATTCATTTCGAAGAATACCTTATAAACATAACCAAGACCACCTTCACCAATCCTATTGGCTTGGTCAAAGTTGGTTGTGCCATCTTTGAGTTGCTTAAAGGTAAACTTACCAGTTTATAAGTCCACATCCTTTAAATCTACATGACAAGTAAAACTCATAAGCAATTGTTGTGTATAAGAAAAATTTCAGAGTAATATCATAACTTTATCTTGAATCCCACTAATGTTTGGTTGCCCAGAATTTGACAACTACTTGGATATATAGTCAGACACACTTTTTATAATAAGTTTCAAAATCATAATGTACAAATAAAAATCAGCGTACAGGGAGACTCTAAACTTGTTATACACTTCAGAACAATATTGCACGCCGTGTAATATTAGATCATTATTGAAGACATTTCAATGGTTAACTTGGCATCCTCTTTCCCATGTGTGAAGTGGAGGCATATTTATCGATTGACATACTTCGTTGTTGATGCTATTACACATGTGAGCTTTTTCATTTCTAATATGCACATTTGAGATAGCTCCATTCCTTTAGACCTACTCCAACTCTTGGAGTATAACTCAAATTTTAGGTTCTACGTCAACCCCAACATGCTCCAACCCTTAGGCGAAAAATGAATTTTGAGTTAAAACTCATTTTTGGGACAAAGTTCGGCTAGGAATTGAGACTGGGTTAGTGGATTGGTCTATTGGTGTGATTGAACGCGCTTAGATTTCTCCAAGACGCATGGGATTTACGCACCCCATGCCCTCCATGTTTTCAAACAGACATGCATAGGTCTCACACACGTGGGCATGTCGGGGAGAGTAATGAGCCCAACGACTCTTTGGTTTAATCAGACGGCACAAGTTCATTGAATCTAACGGCACAAATTCCCATTTATTTAATTTTTAGTTTTGTATTTATAATTTATTGAATCCAATAGTTGAGATCTAAAATGATCAAATTAAACGGTTAAAAAAAAGATCCAACGACTAAACAATTAAAAATATTATTTAAATCAAAATTAATCCAAAACTCTATAAGTATCTATGTATTTGTTCAAACATCCACAAAAAATTCACTTTTCTCCAAAGATCTATGTATTTTTTCCCATTTCCAATTTTTTCCCATTTCCAATTTTCTCTATAAATATCTATGTATTTCTTCCCATTTCCAATTTTTTTCAAGATAGCAAAAGATCATACTAGAGGTCGTAATTGGTCAAGTGAGGAAGATGTTGCTTTGTGCTTAGCATGAGTTTGTACTAGCGAAGATGGTGTCATTGGCACGAATCAAAATAAAAGATTTTGTGGGCTAAAATCGTTGATAAATTCAATTCCAACTCGAACACCATCCAAAGGGAAGATGGTAGTGTTTATGATCGGTGGAAGGTTATCAACAAATCGTGCACTGGAAGAGAAGCTTGGAGAGAGCCATGGTTGACATGGCTAGTGGAAGGAGCTCCTTAGAATTGGTGAGAGTTTTCATTCATAGTTTATTTTTCATGCATACAATCTTATTTTGCAACTAATTATTGTATTTATGTATTCCTTGCATAGGGTGACAAAGCAATAGCGATTTACAAGATAAGAACTACGCCCAAAAAACCAAACTTTTAAGTTGCATCATGCTTAGGACATCCTCAAGGAGTGTCCGAGGTGGGGAACCGATGCAGACCAACAATGGGGGAATTATTTACTGATGAAGCCTCAAACGCAACTATTAGCAATCAAGGTAACGATATGGTTACTCCAATAACTTCTTCTTTTACAAGGCCTCCAGAAAGAGATATGCAAAAGGAAGCAAATAGAAAATGGAAG